TAAGATAGGCGGCGGCACATTTAAATCCGAGATGAAAGTGTGATCTGATCGAGTGGTTCTTAACCTATTTCGTCCGGATCCGCTTCAAGGTCTTTTGAAGTTCTCAAACCCTCTCTCTGTCCCTTTAAAACATTTTATATTTTAAGTGTTAAAAAAAAGAATTAACAGAGTTGAGTTCTCTTTACGGAAGCCTGGGGGTATTTTACAATATTACTTAATTGTAAAGTACCAGTACAATTATTCCGTTCTTTGCTACGAATACCTCTTTGTTGAGAAAAGCCATTTTATGGTAAAATAATGTTTCCTCCACTTGTTTCCGTGTATTTTAATAGCATATGCCTGGAATCTTGTTCCTCTCTACAATGAAGGTGTCTGCCTCTATTGAATTCTTCCATCATCCTCTTAGTCTCCAAATACCAGCATCACACTGTGCTAACCCACTTCCCTCACTTCTTGTACATAAAACCAGAAGCTGAACAAGTAAACAAGCAAATGAATAAAGTGACAAAATCAATAAACAAGCGAGAGAGCGCGTAGCGTACTCACATCTGACGTTCAGTCGCACCTCTATGACCTGTGACTTGGTGGAATATGATTCGTGTAGAGCGACGCACTTCAGCAAACTGCCGTGCTGCTGCTTGCTGAAACCAAGTTCCAAAACGGACGTTGCGACCCACGTTTTGTCGTTGTCCAGCTCGGTCGAGTTGCTCTGGTTCGTGCTAGTCGTGATTTCTTCGTCTCCTGTGACGAGCAAGACAATGGGCTGTTAGTACAGAGGCCTCGGAGCTCTACTGAGACAAAGGCAGTCGAAATTCAAATTACGACGATTCATAAAAACATTTCGCGCCTAACTTTCCATGTCTCAGAGGAATATACGTTAAATGAATGCAGGACAGAACAATAACACAGAAAAGGCAGTTTAAAATAAACTGAAAATGTAACATGGTACAAATATTTTAAAATGACGACTGATGTCTTCTGGGTTCTATTAATCAACTACAGGGCGTCACAATCCTAACGATCTCAATTCATATTTGGGACTGACAGAAACAAATCAAAATTATATTAACCAGAGAGTTAAGGGCATGTTATGTTGGAGAATATTTCCTACTATTATTTCAGGATCTTTCAGCATACCTACCAGTCTCTGATGCAAAAACTGATTATTAAAGCATAAAAGTCATAGAGAAATTTGTCGTTTTATAAGCGTGAAAATCTTGTCCTCTCATCCTAAGGGAATAGAACACATTGAAAGTGTTCGAAAATAAAGTGCTGAAGACAAATATCTGAACCTAAGTGAGAGGATGGAACAGGAAACACACAGAAAACAACAGAATGAGGAGCTTTATAATTTGTAGTCTTCTTAGGAGGATAAAATCAAGACGGGTAAAATTAAAGTAGCGTGTAAAATGCAAATATTACATTTTGAAACACTGAAGAAATAAGGCCACTTGAACACAGTTGTGTAGATGAGAAGATGATATTAAAATGGGCATTGGAGCAGACGTTGTGGAATGTATTCGCCTATCTCAGTCCAGTGGCGGGCTTTTGCGAATACGATAATTTACTTTTGGGCTCCATAAAAGGGCAGGTAAATTTCTTGACTAACTGAGCAACTGTTAGGTTCTTAAGAAAAATTATACTCTTTAAGTGACTTATTAATGATATATTCATGCATTATAGCCAATAACCTTTCAGAAACTAATACAATTTTAATTATACCAGCTGGGTTCCAATGTCACAAGTCTGTAGGACCTTCATGTTGCTAACACGAAAGTTATGTACCGAATAGAAGCGGCCTCCACTGGCGTGTACGTATGACTACAAGGAAATTAGTAATTAAAAATCTATTTTATAAAGTTAATAGTTGGGTTACGAAATGAGGTTCTTAAGAAGGAGCCTTGTATCTTTGAAAATTAAAAATAAATTTCACGATAAATTCATTATGGACATTACGGGGTAGGGATACGAAAATGAGGATGAAGTATAATAGGAGTATTATTCATTCTTTGAGGACTGTACACTAAGTGATCATATACATCTTATATGGGAAATGATGTTAATCACATTTCGTTTCCGAAACTGATACACGAACTGCCATTAAATCTGTTATTGGAGTCCGCATTAATAATTTATGAGTATTACTTTGGGTTGTATGGGTATAATATAACTCATACTTTACATAAGTAAAACATACATTTTAGGTTTTCTAAAAAACTGCTTATCATAAACAACCTTCAAGTATAATACGTATCAAATATAGACAGATGTTATTAGGATATGAATCTTTAAATTCAAGATTTATCTATATAATAAATGTTTAACTAACTAATGGAAAAAATAAGTTCTGATTCTATGAAGTGGTCTTGCAACAATATAGTTGTATCTGTAATAAAATCAAATCAAGGCCAAAGAGTTATGCAACATGGCAAAACGAATGAAGAAAATGCCCACACTTCACATTGCTACACTCGTAAAAGAAGATTGAGGCAGTAAGTACTTCTGGAAAGATGGTAAACTTCTACCAGACGACATGGTGCTACAACACAGAAGACAGCCATCTGTACACACGCCGCCATGAGAACCAAAAATCCTATTATTTAATTTACTATCAAACAATTTCCAGGGCATTTAGATTCGGCCTGTCAACTTTATCTCCATGCACAAAAGGTTTTGAAAGTCAAACCGGCACAACGTGTCACTGTTCCTAAATGTCACATTTAATCAGGAAGATAATAACTCAATTTGCACAATTGCACCACATCTAATCTTTTGCTAACGAAATGAACTTACTAAGGCATGCCTAATATGATTTTGGTAGGAATTAATTAAGTTGGCAACAATGACTTACCGAGTAACCACTTGAGTCTAGCAGGGGGATTCCCATAACGACTAACACACTTAACTGTTGCTCGCTCGCCAGCTTGGGCTGTAACGTTATGCCCTGGTAGAACTTGACTTGTATTGTACTCGATTCGCGGCCGCTGTGGAGCCACTGCAACAAACAAACAAAGCAAATAGGAATTACAAGTGTGCCGCACTCATTATCAAACCACATCAAAATCAATCTGACACAAGGAAAAAAACCCCAGGTAAATGTAATTTATGTATCATTATATACGCGTAGTACGGTGTGCGTATAAACAAAACTTTCAAACATAATATAAGTTTTCGGACACGGTTTCCATCTTAACACATCAAATAAACTTACTAGAAAAGAGGAAGAAGATTACGACATGAAGAAATGTTATTCCTGAATATAGGTTAATGTTCAAGAGCACTCTCTCTCGAACCAAGAAGAAAACCTATGATTCTTTACCCTTCATTAAGCTAAGTAACTCTCTCGTAGCAGGACACGATCCTTAGCCAGTTTCGATTCAACTACGATCCATCTTAATGTCGGCATTTCATATCTTTTTTGATGGTTTCAAGTAATCGCATTCCATTACGTTTACACATATAAATTGTGTATATATTTGTCTCCCTCATGCATTATATGTCATCTTCTATTTGATAATTTTAGTTGAAAAGTACAAATTGTAAACCTTCTAATCCTCTGAAAAGTAGAAGATTTTATTTCCTAAACAATCCTGACATCGAGCCAATGACAGAATTTTCACGCACCAAAAACTACAAATGATGCACAATGGTTTATCTTTACCTACAAGATTAACTTTAGCTAATGTCTTGTATAGCTTAAACTTGACGGTTGGAAACAAAAGAACATATTACTCTTTATTTTTAGTTCTATCTTCGAAAAGTTTGACTTATCTATCCGTGTTCTAAAACTTCAGTTTCTATTTCTCTTCTGTTCAATTTCTCAACCGAATAACTTGCTCTCAAGTTTTGTTTGAAAGGGAAGGAGATTTTGGAAACGCAGTGATGCACTGTAAGAGCTCCTCGGCTCTTGATCCTCTGCATGCCTTTGTGTTGGTGGTGGGAGCTTCGGAGGGAAAGAAAAGATTGTGGGCCAAGGCGGTTTGTGTGTTCTGTGAATTGGAGCGACATAGCAAGAGAGAACACGGTTTTGAAATTTTGGGTTTGCGAAACATACACTGAAAAGCAAGTAGAATGTTCTAACAACTATACTGCTAGTACAGAGACGACCACTGAAAATGTTTCCACGATATTCTACAATACGTCGCGAAAAGCTAGTGCTGTAAAAGCAGTGGCGATAACATTGATATTTAAAAAAGGAATAAATAAAATTATGAAGGAAGAAAATAGTAATAGTAAAAGGAATGATGAAAGAACGAATAAAACACTGATAAAAAAGAGGGAAAAAATAGGGAAAAATGTACAGTCCACGACTGTAATCTTGAGACTTGCAAGGAATGTAGGAAGTCCGTAGCGTTAAAGGCAGACGCTATCTTTTCTCCTCCACCCCACTTCCTCACCCCGCAAGTATCAAGATTACAGTCGTGGACTGTAGAAATAATTTCTGATGGCTTGCACACACACCTACAAACGTTGTCGGCAAACAATGTTTGCAAAGAAATATTCTGTGTGTCTTGTTTTCCGTCGGAAATGGAAAGGAAGAAATAATTTTTCCAAGCGTGGACGTGTTTAACGTGTTATCAGTCTTTCGTCAAGTGCTGCCAAGTGCTCAGAATGTGGACAAGCCAGAAGAAGTTGAAGCTTGATACCTACAAATCCACCATTTTTAGCAACACTTCATAATCTGTTGGTGTCCTGATAAAACTTCTGAAGCCAGTTCAATCTTCTGATTCCAAATCTGCCAAAAGATTATCTACATACCTTGTAATTTCTTTGAGAAAGTGCATAGTCTACTATCCTTATCAATTTCTTCGTCGTGGCCTTCAATTTAAGAGAAATACAACATACAGCACAAATTCCAATCACAAGATTTGGTATTTTGAAATGGTTGGTATGAAAGCGAAGCTATTTGCCGACAGTCCGCAAACATGGTAGGCAATCTGTCTGCCGACAATTATTGTAGGTGTGTACCAGCCTTACCGGGACAACATATTTTGGTTAATGGGTTCAAAGGAAAAATATGGGATGGGTAAACGATCATGAATGGCGAACAGGTAAAGATCGGCGTAATACAGTCAGGCCTACTTCATGTTATCGTTACAAGATGTCTTTTCCATACCGTACCAATACAATTTTCATATTTATAACACGCGAGTGAACTGGCGTCATCATATTTCGTACGAATTTGTGCTTTTGAAAGGGGTTCAGGCAGGAATATACTTGAGTGAATGATGGGCGACACAAAACATCTTATATAGTCGGCAAAGTGGACAAAGAATCAAAACCAGGACATCTGTATTACGAAATAAGAGACTGTTGTCCCTTTTCCTGAAGAGATTTACGAAACGGTCTCACCAGACCTGTATTGTGCCACACGCTGTTTGTCAGTATATATATGTTGTGGGTTGGACCGGGGGGGGGGGCAACCCAAGGAAAGGAATTCACTAAACCCGCAAACAGACACAAAACAACAAGTATGCAGAATCAATTCGCCAGCTCACTCAGTATAAGACCCAGTACATTTCTCCGATAAACAAACACGTACATTATATTGCACTTTGATCGAATAACTTGGAAACTCTCGCTTTGATGCAATGCGCATTACCGAATTGTACGATTTACTTCAATTGTTTTTGATTCAAAGACAAATAACTTTCGTCCCGTAATTAACCTAGATAAAATATTGGTTTTCTAAAACTAACATTCAGAATGGCTTCGCGTACTTTTTTCAGTATGCCATTTCAGGTCACGTTAGTTTAGTAACCATTGCTCCGATCTTTTATATCGGCTACACTCAGTGTTGCACAGATGATGAGATTTCAATGGGAGCTCTCTCTTAGGTAGATAAGATACATTTATGTTCCTTTACTAGATTAAAAGATTTCTTCTCAAACCCACATAAAATGGCATAATAAATGGTTTGCTTATGCTAATCTTCCACGTTTTCGACAATTTTATATTCAAGAAACGATTTCTCCTTATTCCTGACCACTGTATTTTAATGGATTTTACCAGCATTTTGTTTTTGTAAAATATAAATTTGCAACATGGCTCGAATACTGGAGTACAGGGCAATTTAAACATGGATACGTTTAAAGAGCAACCTCCCAGAAAGACATATCTAAAATCACAATCATCATAATGGAATTGAGAGGACAGAACGAGTTTAATATCGAAAATGCACCAATCGATAAATCGACTGAAGTATTTCATGGTATTCAGTTTCTAAGTGTGTCTTACTTCCCGGTACAGTGAATCACATCGAACTCAAACGAATTTCTTCTGAATGGAAAGAACGAGAGAAGTTATTCAACCTTACTGAAAAATAACATAGACTGAGAACTCATTTCTTATCCCAAACATAGTAATTTAACAAACGAAACAATTGACATAGAAATAACTATTTTTTACCAATATATCCTTCTTTTTCGCAAAAAAGAGAAGGCAAATTTAAAATAACTCAGAACCAATTCAATTATTCAACACCCTCATACAGCTGAGAGAGAAAAAGCCTTTAAAATCAACCTAAGTACTTAATAGTTTTATTAAAGTTACGTGAGGTCACGAAGAGGAATGCTCTCAACTATCCGTATTCTGTACTTAACGTATTACACGAATGAAAGCGGTGTAATGAGAATGATGGGGTAATTCTGCACAATATTAACTGATGCTTTTGCACTTTCAACATTCCTATTATTTCCGATACTCATTACCACCGCCATTATTAAGCAAAGTTACAAACAAAGCGACTATTTTCAAATATCCTGATGCTTCAGTATATTTATGCAGATAATTCAAATATTGCCGACTAGTTAATCGAAGTGCATTCCATGCAATCCTGATATATAATCCTCATGTCTGTACAGCCACATCAAACAAATGTAGACTACATTCAGGATTTAACTACCCTATTAACTGTTATATTCTCAAATGGACTTGTTACTTATTATCTTTATATAATAATTTTGTCTTGAATTCTGGTTACGAGACGTTAACACAAACCAAGGTTATTTATTTAGAATTCTCTTGATAATTATGGTGTTTATATTTTCGACCAATAATTTATACACATTCCAGCTGTTGATTTCTGGTACACAAAGAATTTAGGTTAATATGGGACTGAAATAACGGAACGTTAACTTGAAGAACTATATGATGTACAGAGATGCAGAGAAAAATACACATTTTATATTCAATATAAATACAGCGAGCATAATCATTTTATTGTAAAATGTTGTCTTCAAACACACAAAAACCGAGTTTCACGAACATAATGTAATATGTCCTTTATATTTTCAGTTACATACAATATTTATTACCTTTTATTTTATTTATTTAGTGTTCTGTCTGACGACAGGTCCATATGAACAGGATCCTTCCATCCTTTTCTCGGACTGAGACCTGTTCATATACGTTCTTGGCAGATGATCCAGAAGTGGTTTGCCATTGCCTTCTTCTGTGTGTGAATGGAGTAATTGTTGGGATGCCACGAAGAAACCGGAGAATCCCCCGGAGGAAAACTCCGTGTTGCCTAGACCACGGCCTTGCCCAACACAAGTTATAAATTCGGGCACCGCCGGGAATCGAACCCGAGACCCCAGGATTACAAAACAATTAAACAGAGATGCAGTGCACAAAATTCTGCCAACGCAACGCAATACTAAACTTTGCCTTTCTTCATTACAGCAATACTGACTCCACACAGTTCTGCCTCGTGTTGGTGGCTTTAGAAATGAAGAGAAAGATCATTTCTGGGATTCGTAACATCACAGCTTAATGATAATTATAATTATTACGAAGTTATTAGTTACTAACACAGCACCACATGTCTATATTTGTTGACCCTTCATCTAGAATGACGTCAGGGCTGGGAAAGTGTATGTGGGGGGAGGGACCTGTCCACTAACATTTACCCACTACACGTTTGAATAAACCTTCACTTCTCCCCAGAGTTCGTCTTGTTATGGAAACTGTATAATGTTCATATTTATCCTTTCT